GAATAGAATAGAATAGAATAGAATAGAATAGAATTCTTTATTGGCCAAGTGTGATCGGACACGCAAGGAATTTGTCTTTGGTGCAGATGCTCTGAGTGTACATAAAAATACATTCATCAAGAATTATAAGATACAACACTTAGTGATAGCCATAAGATACTAAATAAGCAATCAATAATACAGGCTGACTGCAGAATTATGGGAATTGAAGTCCACACATCTTAAAGTTACCATAGTTGAAAATCACTGGATTAAAGCAATACAGTATAGTAGGTGAACTAGCCAATTAGTGGATTAATCTCCCAATTAATCTCCCAATAAAGAAAAGGTGCTATTGAGCAGGTTGTGTGAACCCAACCTTTGCTTAGGTATTTAATTGGTTTTCATCTTCTGAAGATGCCTCCTGAAGGATAGTTCGGAAGCTATTAATCCTTTTATATCTTCAATACTTCTCTATTGATGTAGAGACTTCTTGAGCAGCTAAAGACAGCTCCTATTCAATCTATTATTTCCTGCGCACTTCTCTACTTTTATTATTGCAACACTTTAATGCATACTTCAATGGCCAAGTTGTCCCAAACACACCCACACACGCACGCACGCACACACACACACACACACACACACACACACACAGGTCTGCTACAAACCTAGTTGGCTATATCCATCCACACAACCTTCTCCAATCTGTTGTGGTTTTTCTGGCACATTGGGTAAACTCAGCCTTGTTACTTTTTGGTGCAGAGTATTGTGTCCATTCCCGAAATGAATAATGTACATTGGGAAGCTTTAAACCCAGAATCATTACTGGAGAGTTCAAACAAATGGAAGATTAAGTATCTGTGCAGAAACAGAGAAATTTGCAGTGATAATAAACCTCCTCTTCCGTGTCTAAAAACAGTCAAGATGTTGCTGGGCCAAGAAACAATTCACACTGTCGCTCTCAATTATTATTTTAAGCGCAGATGAGACATGCATGTCGGGCCGTGTTAATGATTCAAGGTATGTTCAGTGCTGCAGCCTGGCCAACACAAGGAGTGGAAACATATCATCCAAAAACCAAGCCGATTTTTCCTGTAGACTTAAAAAAGAAAAATCAACAGGACTCCTGAATTGCCATCAAACATTTTCATTTGTCAAACCGTGGGTAGCTTTATTCAATACCAGGGGAGTCAAAATCCCTTGCTGTCTTAAAACATACAAGCCCCTCCAAGGGGATGCTCAGGTGGGTTCCACCTCCGGTGAGCATTCCCCCTTCAGAAGTGCTACAGGCTGCTCACATGCTCATGATCAACTCCCAGGTCTACAGAAGATTCTCAATCATCCGGGTCACGGGTATCCCCAAGGTGCTTTTTCCAAAAGGCGACTGGATTTTTTTTTTTTGAAGTTGCGTTTTTTTGGGGGGGGGGGAGGAAACCACCTTTGGGACATCCACCCCCATGGTTCCCAGCCAGAACCCTTTCAAGGAAGATGCCATCCTCTTTGAGCAAGTAAGATTAGCCAACATCCTCCAGATGGTAGTTATCCCAAAGGTGCTTTTTCCAAAAGGCAACTGGATTATTATTATTTTTTGAAGTTGCCTTTGGCGGGGGAGGCATCTTTGGGACATCCACCCCCATGGTTCCCAGCCAGAACCCTTTTAATCTTCTTGAAGCAAGTTACGAGATTAGGCAACAATAGTGGGGAATCACGACATCAATCAAGGTTGGGGGGGCGCATCTCGGTCGTGGGAATGGAGCATTTGGGGGTCCCAAAACCTCGGTTCCCATGCCCCTCCTGCGCCCCCGAAGAAGCTGCGCCTGCCTTCTGCGCGCTACCCCTTTGCGCGCAAGGACCAGCCGGCCGAGCGGGCGGAGCCGAGGAAAGGAGGGCAAGGGGTTGGCTCTCTTGCTGTTCCAGCCCCGGGCGGGTCGAAGGCGGAGCCGACCCCGCTGCAAGCAGGCGAGGAAGCAGCTTGGAGAGGCGGAGCGCTCCCGATCGCCCGGCGCAGCCATGCCCAAAGTGGTCTCCCGTTCCGTGGTCTGCTCCGACACGCGCGACCGGGAGGAATACGACGATGGCGAGAAGCCGCTGCACGTCTATTACTGCCTCTGCGGGCAGATGGTGCTGGTCTTGGGTGAGCCAAGCAAGGGACCCCCGGCGGCCCCATCCCCACCCCCGACTTTCCTCCCTTCCCCTCGGCCAGGGCGCAAAGAGGTTTCCCCCCCCCCGCGCCCCTCTCCAAACTTTGGACATTATTACGCACCGGCTGTTAGAACCGAGCCGGTTGCCGAGTTCCGCGCCGTTGGGGCGCGAGGGTGAGGCTGATGGGAGTTGAAATCCAAACGCTTCAGGTGGGTTCTGAAGCTTACCTGCCAGGTGTCTGATGGGGGATGATGGGAATTGCAGTCCTCTGAATAGGGTGGGTGGGTATCCTGTTTACCCCCCCCCCCTCAGACCGGCAAATAATAACCAGCCTCCTGAACTGATTTGGGAATGAGCATGGGAGGCGTTTCAACCTAATGCAAGGTATATATATAGCTGCTCAGAGTCACTTTGACTGGTGAGTTGCGCTGCTTATGGATTTAATAAAACAAATAAATAAACTTAACTACCCTAATGTTGGAGGGTTTGGATGGAAAGAGAGACCTGAATCAAGAGCTGAGCTATCAATGTTTTCTTCAAAGTTTCAAAGTTTAATAACATTTGTATGCCGCCCAATCCTGTAGGATTCCGGGCGGCTAACAATACAAATAAATCAAAAGGAATAGAAGAAAGAAAAGATAGTTTTNGGGGGAGACTCACCCAAAGATGACGGCATTCCACACCATGATGTTGTTCTCCGAGGGGGCTCCGCTCACTCCGGCCGGGGGATCCTCCTGAAGCCTGTTTTGGGGTGGGGGAAGCAGGCAAGGAAAGGGTTAAAAAAAAGCCCAGATGGGAGGCAGGAACGGGCGAGGGGGGGGGGACAATTTCGCTCCGCTTGTGCCAACGGCGTAACTCGCCCTAATCTCGACGGCCGATACGCCAGTAGCGTAGCGCTCCCATCCTCCGCCGCCATGTTGGATCGCCTCACCTCTTTCCCTCCGCTGCGCTGCTTCCCCCCCCCCCCTCCGGCTCAGCGGCTCTTCCCGGACGGTTTTTACCTCTTGAAGTCCCGCATGAGGCGCCTCCGGGCCGGCGTGGACATGGCGGGCGGGGACGGCTCGCGGTTATGAATCCCTCATACACTAGCGGGAAGAGGGGCGGGGGGCACTCGCGGCGGCGGCGGCGGCGGCAGCAGAGGCGGCGGCTGGGTTCCGAGCGGAGGCGGCCTCTTCCACTTGTGCCTCAACAATGGGGGGTGGGTGCGAGGAAGGAGGCCCTTGACAACGCACCCGGCCGAGGCTGCTGGCCAATGCCGGACCGCACCACTACCCTTGCGGAGGGGGGGTGAATTGAGAAAACAGAAGGGGGCGGCGCTACGCGCGCAGCCGCCGAGTCACGCCGGGGATGTACCACTCGCGCCCGCGCGAGGAGGGGGAAAGAAAGGGGCGGCGCTTCGAAAACGCAGGACGATACCATTCAGGATGACGCTTGAGTCCGAGCATTTCTAGGCGAGACTAATGCCGGGAGGAAAAAAAAATGCGAGGGGGAGATTACTGGGAGAAACCATTTTTCTCCCGTTCGGTTACATCCCCCCCCGTCTTTTCTATTGGTTGGTAGAATCAGCTGCCCCCGCTTGTGGGCGGAGCGTTAATTTGAAAGCTATGCGGTCAGCCTGTTGGTGTTACACCAAAATAAGCCCCCCGCCCCTCCCGGGCTCAGTGACTCGAAACAATGATTGAAATTGGGTTCACACGTCACACCACTGGCCTCGGTCAAAGCAGTTTGCCATCCCTTGATGAAAGCAGGGTTAAGTCAACCTTGGCAACTGTGGGCTTCCAATCCCAGAATTCAATAGAATAGAATAGAATAGAATAGAATAGAATAGAATAGAATAGAATAGAATAGAATAGAATAGAATAGAATNCGCTTATCTGATTCGCACTTTGCATTTTTGGATGTACATGTTTTTTTTTTAAAAAAAAAAAAAACCTTCACAAATGAGCTATCCCTGAATTCTGCTTATTTCCAGCAACAGTTAAGAGAGTGACTGTAAGCAGGAATGGGATTCAGCCAGTTTGGTCTGGTTCGAGTGAACTGGATGCTAATTTTACATCCAGTTCACCGAACCAGTACTTGCTAGGACTGGCTGGCCCTGCCCCTCTCACCCCATTCCACCTCTCCCAGGAGTCTCCACGCAGCCCATTTTGGATGCCAGGTAAGTGCAGGTCCTGCACGGAGGCTCCGGGAGGGTGAAAAATGGACCTTCCAGAAGTCTAGAAATGAGCCCGTTTCCAATCTTCTGGGGGCCTCTGGAGCCCGGGAGAGGCAATTTTCGCCCTCCCAGAGGCTCAAGGAAATCCTCCAGAGCCTGGTGCAGGAAGCTAAGTAGGCCATGCCCACTATGGCCATGCCCCCACCTCCCCAGCAACTGAGCAGAGAACCAGTTGCTAAACTTTTTCAATCCCACCCCTGGCTGTAAGCGTAATCACAGACCTTCCATATTTTGAACATGCGGTACATTTAAATCCCAGTTGGTTGTGTGGACATGTACATTGAGCACAGCTTAAAAAAGAGGAAAGTTTAAGTTATCTTCCTTTGTCTCTTGGTCTCGCTGGTTATCCGCCTGTTCCTTTATTGCTAACGTTAGATAAATTTGGCACCGTAGGAAGGCGCCCCGTAGAACTAGCACTGGGGCCAATTAAACCTACATCACTTGTGACATTTTATAATCATTCAAGGGATGAGATATTTCAAGGGGGATGAAGCTGTCTCGTGCAAAAAGGACAATGGTTACTCATTGCCTCTGCTTGCTGGCATGAACAGGCAGTGGAAATTCTAAGGATGGAAGGGAATGGCTAACAAGGCCATTTTTCTTCATTGTTCTGTTTTGCAATGGCTGGTGCTTCAACAGGGAGCTCATTTCTCTCCTACACCTGGACCAGCTTAGAGGTGACCCAGTGGAATGCAGTGAACCAGTCACCAGCTAAATCAATTTAGCACCGATTGATCATACAAGATGTACCTTCCTTCTCCCCCCCCCATCCCATTTTTAAAAGAAGCCCAAAGCAAGATACAAAGAATCATTTAAGAAAAAAACAACAACCCACAATTACAATATTACAAAAAGTTTAACTTTTTAACAATCTTAATTTTAAAAAAAAAAAACTTTAAACATCAGGCCAAAATGCTAATCCAATCCAGAAAGGCACACGTGTCAATTTCACTAACCTCCTGGATGAGCAGATATATCTAATTATAGATTATACTAATTACACTGCATTGATACCTATCTTTCTGCCTGCCTGCCTACCAATCTTCATCTATCTATCTATCTCTCTATCATCCATCCATCCATTCCACCCACCCAAGCAGTTGCTGGAGCTAAGTAGCCACCACGAGAAAGTGTTGGCAAAGCAGCTGGATCTGACCAGGAAGGTGGCTCAGCAGAAGCACCTCACTGAGGACTATGAGCACAGGCTTTCCAAGCAAAGGGAAGACCTGCAGGAGTGCCAGGCCAGATATCAGTCTCAAAGTTTCAAAGTTTAATAACACTTGTATGCCACCCAATCCCGAAGGACTCCGGGCGGCTCACAATACAAATAAATCAAAAGGCATAGAAAAAAAGAAAAGATAGACTTAAAAACACACCATGCATTCCATTCCAAGTGGGGCTGGACCATATTTTGGGGTCAACAGCCCCAGGCCTGCCGAAACAGCCAGGTTTTAGTGGCCTTACGGAAGGCCGAGAGAGTGGGAAGGGTCTGGATCTCTGCTGGGAGATCATTCCACAGGGCCGGAGCAGCTACAGAGAAAGACCTCCCCCGAGTAGTCGCCAACTGGCATTGCCCGGTCGACAGTACCTGAAGGAGGCCCAATCTGTGGGATCTTATAGGTCGTTGCGAGGTATGTGGCAGGAGGCGGTCCCGTAGGTATCCAGGTCCTAAGCCATGTAGGGCTTTAAAGGTAACAACCAGCACCTCAGTGCCCAGAGACTCAGTGGGATGAGATGGTCAGCCAGTTCCAGGCCACGATGCAGTCCCACTGGAACAAGGACCTCCGGCTCTTCTCCACCAGTGTCACTTCCCTCCAGCCTTCACCCAAAGCCCCGCACCAGGAGGCTGAAGCAAACCCCAAGGCAGAATTTCTGTCCCTCTCTGACCCTCACAAAAAGATCCCAAAGGGGGAGACTCTCTGCAGCAGCACAAACGTTCATCGCGTGTATCCGGCCTAGGGGGCGTAGTTTGAGGACCCCTGATTTAGTGCAATGTAAAATAATTTTTCTGCAGACCAACAAAATTGTCCTGCGGACCACCAGTTGGTGACCGCTGCCTTAGTGTAAGGTTATTTTCAATTTGCATTAGGGACTTCTCACTTGAAAGGACTCCTAGGTGTTTGTCTCTGCTTCTGCAGATATTCCAAGTTGTCGGATCCCGCCAACTGGCTGAATATTAATGCCACAAACGGTCAGATCATCACTGCCGCTGTCCTTGATCGCGAGTCAGCCTACGTTAAGAACAATGTCTACGAAGCCACGTTCCTGGCAACTGACAACGGTAGGCTCCAGCACTCCGCTCTTCATGCTTCAATAATAATGTGACGCATTCATAGAAATAATGCCCTGACAGAGTTGTCAGTATAATTTAGATGTTCCCACGTTTTCCTAGTTCTTTGAGGGCGGGGAGGCGAAAGATCTTCATGAAGTTGAGATAGCATGCTGCCAAAAGAAATGAAATGTGTGAGATATTCACAGGTTACAATGGAAAAGAAAACTTAAGGTGAACAGAAAAGGGAATGTATGAAATTAGAAGGTTTTGCCATATGTGTGTGTTCAATTCTATTTGTTAAGGATGTCCCAATGGTGCTTTTTCAAAAGGAAACTGGGCTTTGTTTTTCCTTGAAGACGTTTTGCTTCTCATCCAAGAAGCTTCTTGAGTTCTGTCTTCCCTTCAGTCAACTGAAGAAGCTTCTTGGCTGAGAAGCAAAACGTCTTCAAGAAAAAATGACATCCAGGTGTCTTTTGAAAAAACACCTTTGGGGCAACCACCATCTGGATGACTGAGAATCTCTGAAACATTTGCTAAGCATCCAATCTGAGTTGGTCACCAGGACCAAAGTTTTATTCTCCCAAGCTTTTGGGCTCATGGTGGAGCCCATCATCGGGAAACACTCTCTCTCTCCCTCTCACCCTCTCTCGCTCTCTCCCTCCCTCCCTCTCTCCCCTTCACTCTCTCTCTCTCTCCCACCTCCCTCTCTCCCTCCCACTCCCTCCCTCTCTCTTTCTCTCTGTCTCTATCTCCTGCCCACCCCGCCCTGTTCTATGCATGTTGTATTTACATGGTTCCTACCTGGGTGTTGATGGCTGACTATTAAGTTATTAATTGTTGCTTATTTGTTAAAATTTATTTGCCGCCTATATCTCATTGTGGGGCTACTGTAGGCATCTTGGGATGAGTGGAGAAGCAGACAGAAAAGGCAGGAGAAAGGATGGACTTCCTGTGTGTTTCTAATCTTATACAGGTAGTCCTCGACTTACATCAATTCATTTAAATGACCATTCAAAGTTACAACGGCGCTGAAAAAATGACTTATGAACGTTCTTCACAGTTATGACCTCTGAGGCATCCCCATGATCATGTGATCAAAATTCAGATGCTTGGCTCCTGGTTCATACTTATGACCATTGCTGTGTCCCAAGGTCATGTGATTGATCCCCTTTTGCCACCTTTTGACAAGGGAAGTCAATGGAGAAGCCAGATTCACTTAAAAATCAGGCTACTAATTTATGCACTGCTGGGATTCACTTAACAACGTGTCAAAGTTTGTTGCAGAAATCAAATCCAGAACGCACACACAGATGACTGATTCAGCAGGATTTATCAACTTCTCTTTATATAAAATATAATACATAAGTAAATTTACAATACCAACAGCAGATTCTTCCAACATGATAGAGAATTACAAGTAAACACAAGCAGCAGAGGACAGCAGATAATAGTTTCTAGTTCAGAGTTGCAGACCGACTAGTTTGAGTTTCCTTGCAGACCTTAATTCAGACAAAGATAATCTCCTCTTTACAGGGCAGTTACGCTAAACTTAAGCAACTGGGCGTCTAGCATGGCTCTCAGTCACCAAATAGTTCCCATTGGCTGACCTGTTGCTATGTCCTATTCCAGTTCATGAATACTCTGACACAACGGTGGCAAGAAAGGTCATAAAATGGAGCAAAAACTGACTTAACAAAGGTCTCACTTAACAACAGAAATTTTGCCTCAATTTTGGTCGTACGTCGAGGACTACCTGTATTACCAAGTAAGAGACACGGCTGAGGACAGAAAGGAGAGAGGCTCCATCTTGAAGTCAAAAACAATCTAAGGTTAAAAGAGAAAGAATGACACGAAAACTGTCACTGTATAGATTAGAAACATCAAAGTGAGATGCTATACCTTTTTCGAGCGACCTGAAGCAACCTTGTCACAATCTACACAATTCACTCAATTTCGTGGCAGGGCTAAAAATCACCAGTGGCATCTTTACTGACAAGCAGATCAGATATTGACACTGCCCTACTGTGTCCTTTAAATCATTGAATGTGTTGAAGACACTGTTGTGTTCCCTCACCCCCACTCTGCAGGCTACAGGGAAATAAGTTGGACAGGCATCCGAATAAAGAGAGTCAATCTGCTTTCAAAACTTGGTTTCTTCAAATAGCTGCTATATTTCCTTCCCAGGATATATTTGTTGTGGCCCAGCGGCAGCCAGCACAGCTGGCAACAGAGTTGGACAGTGAGGATGTTGGGGAGGAACATGGGCCAGTCCTGGGGGCTGAAGAAAGCTCAGACGAGGGCTGTGTGTCAGAGGCAGAGAGGTAGCTAGACAGCAGTGAGGCAGAGGAACAGCTGGAGCCTGTTCCCAGTGTGCACATGCACAGAGCTGCCAGAAGACAAGAACAACTAAGAAAGCAGGGTTAATTCAGGAGTAAAGCCACACCTTGGACATGATTGTCCCCTCCCACAGGAAACAAAAGAGGAACGAATGGGGAGTGGGCTTTTGCAGGAAACAATTTGTTCCTTTGGTCATTTCAAAAGTAGAAAGTTCTGTTTGTGACTATAAGAGACTCTGGGTGCAGTGTTACCTGGCAGCTCGCCAAGTGAGATAAGGTTCCTTTTGATAAATATTCCTCTGAAAGACTGTTTGCCAAACCTTGCTGACTGTGAATGAAAAGAATTCACAGTCACGTAAATAAGAGATTTTGCTGGGACCAAGACTCTGCTTCATGCTTGTTAAGTAGAAGTCTAGGTCAGGAGCCGCTGAGAGGTCAAGGAGAACCAGGATGGAGGAGTGTCCTCCATCTCTGGCTCTCCAGAGGTCATCGGTCAATGCGAC